CAATAACAAGGAATGGACTAATACAGCTTGATATCTGGTATTAAGATCCCTCAAAACGACAATGAGGGACCACCTCACACCTGTCAGGATGGCTATCATCAACAAATCAACAAACGACAAGTGCTGGCGAGGATGTGGAGAAAAAGGAACACTCATGCACTGCTGGTGGGAATGCAGACTGGTGCAGCCACTGTGGAGAACAGTATGGAGTTTCCTCAAAAAACTAAAAATGGAACTCCCATTTGACCCAGTGATCCCACTTCTAGGAATATATCCCAAGAAACTAGAAATATCAATCAAAAAGGATATATGTACCCCTATGTTCATAGCGGCACTATTCACCATTGCTAAGATTTGGAAACAGCCTAAGTGCCCATCAGCAGATGAGTAGATTAAAAAACTGTGGCACATCTACACAATGGAATACTACACTGCTACATAAAGGAAGGAATTCTTACCATTTGCAACAGCATGGATGGAACTGGAGAGCATTATGCTAAGCGAAATAAGTCAGACAGAGAAGGATAAATATCACATGGTCTCACTCATTTGTGGAATATAATGAACAACATAAACTGATGAACAAAAACAGATCCAGAGACAGAGAAGCATCCATCAGACCCTCAAACCTCAGAGGGAAGGCAGGGGAGGGAGGGGTAAAGGGGAGAGATCAACCAAAGGACTTATATGCATGCATATAAGCCTAAGCAATGGACACAGACACCAGGGGGGTGAGGGCATGAGCGGGGGTGGGAGGAGGAGATAAGGACACATATGTAATACTTTAATCAATAAAGAAAAAAAAGGAATGGACTATTGATACATGCAACAATATGAATGAATCTCAGATACACTAAGTGGAAGAAAATGCATACATATTATTTCATGTAAATAAATGTCTAGAAATGTAAACTAATCTGCAGTGACAGAAAATAGACCAGTGGTTGCTTGGGGGTGGAGGGAGAGAAAGGACCAAAAAGGAAGGATGACAGGAGGCACTGGAGATTTGGGAGTGATAGAAATGTTCATTATTGCTTGTAGTGATGTTATCACAGGTGTAAACATTTGTCATAACCAATCATACCATTCACTTTAAATATGTGCACTTTTCTGTGTATCAATTAAATCTCAATAAAGGTATCAAAATACACATGAGGAATAAAAAAATAAACTTAAATTTGGAAAATTGAGAGATGAATTAAAAAATAAAAGCAAAGAAATTAGCAAAAGGACTCAGAACTAGAAAACAACAGTAAGATGAGAGAATCACAAAAGCATTATCTTTCTTTGCAACTTTAAGGGCTAGAACTAGGATGTACAGTGCCGGGGGGAAGTTCTACTGCACCTGGCTGGACCAGGTTGCATCAGAGAAATATAAGAGGGGGAATTATACAATAAATCACACAGAGAAGCATAGTTGTAACATTTTGTAAGTTTTGTTTCTTCTATACCATCTATTTAATCAATTGTTTATTGTAGGTGACTAAGAGCAACAGAATAATTTAAAATTGAATAGCAATGAAAACCATAATAGTGGTTATCTGGAATTCGCTGAGTGACTAATTGTATCATGATATCTAATATCCACTAGTCTTTTTTATTATTATTATTGATTTCAGAGAGGAAGGGAGAGGGAGAGAGAGAGAGATAGAATCATCAATGATGAGAGAGCATCATTGATTGGCTGTTTTCTGCACACACACACACACCACACCCCACCCCTCACACCCACCCCAGGATGGAGCCAGCAACCTGGGCATGTGCCCTGACCAAGAATCGAACCTTGACCTCCTGGTTCATAGGTCAACACTCAATCACTGAGGTACACCAGCTGGGCTAATACCACTAGTCTTCACATGTATCATGCTCCTAGCTAAAATCAGTCCCTGCACCTAGATTCCAAGTTCTCTCTCCTACACAAAAATTCACTCCAGCATTTCTCCACTCTTTTCTCTCCAAAATTTTTTTTCTGCCTTCGGGAAGATACCATACTGATTTTTTTAAAATTGGAAACTGTTATTCACCCATCTTAATAAAAGCTTCTCCTGGCCCCAGACAGTTACCCTGCCATTGGTTTACTTTGCTTTGCAATAAAACTTCAAAAGAATTGACCCATGTCTTCAATTCCTTTCCTCAAATTCTCTTTCAAACCTTGCTAACCTGACTTCCGTCCATATGATTCTCTGTCATTATCAAGTGATTTCCACACTGTTAAATCCAATGGCAAATCAGGTTGTTTTTTTCTCTTCTTATTTTCTATGTTCTTGACATTGTTAAATATTTAGAAAATTATCTCAATATTTATCTTTGTACTCATATTTTGTAAGGCCTTTATGAGAAAATAAGCTCTGAGATTTGTTTGGAGTCAGGCAACTGAAGGATGAAAAATAATAAGAGTGATTAAAGATTTGGGAAGTAATCTTTCTAATAATAGGATAAAGCATAAAGTCTTATTTTGTTTAAAGAAGAGAATATTAAGAAGGAAACTGCTTAAAACATATCTAGATATCTAAAAAGGCATCTATAAATGTATGTGAATAGGGTTCTATTGTTTTTCTCAGTCCAATATAAATGGAAACAAGGTTGAATTATATGGGGAGGGATATAATATTTATGAGGAGAAGCTAGCTAAGAAGAATTAGCAGAATACTGACATTTATTGGGTACCCACTATATACCTGAAGCAAGACTAGAGGCAGAGATAGAGATATATATGTTATTTTATGAAAGATCTCACATCAGTTAGTATTCCATTCTGCTGTTGTGTTGCCCTTAGGGAAATAAATATAAATTTATAAATATTTGTATATATAAAGTAAATCCTGCTTTCCAATCTGCGGATTATGTGAAATTGTCCCTATTTTTAAAAAGGAATCTAAAAGAGAGTTTTAAAAGTCTTCCCAATTTCACACAGTGATTAAATGGGAGCCAAGAAAGGCAGGGAGGAAAAAAGCACAAAATTTAGTTAGAAAATCTGGTTTCCAGTGTGTAGTTGGCCACTTTCTATCATTTGATTGTGAGAAAATTACTTCCACAGATTTCTAATACTTTATCTGTAAAATAAGAATACACACAAAGATTGTTGGAAAGATTTAATGGCAGAGTTTCAGTGAAAATATTTTGAATATAAAAATGAATAGCTTCAAATAATTTATGAAAGTATGGGCTTCCTTCTTGCCATAGGATTGAAGGTTAAATTAAAGAAGTCTAAATGCTCATTTTTAATGAGTAATATTTTGATATAAACTTTAAAAAATTGCTTCTGCCTCCAATTTTATTTGATTGCTTCTCATCTTCAAATTCATATGGAATATTTCATTCTTGCCATTTAAAAGTTCTTGATAGTCCATGCTTTATATTAATTTTGAGAGATTTTAGTTTCCTAATAAGAAAAGGAAGAGCAACTATAATATCATGCTTCTTTGAGTTATCACCTACCCCATATTCTCAGGGAGCACTACAAAGATATCCACCCATTGTGACATCCAGGTATCGGTCAGCCTTCATAAAACTTAGAGCCAACTGAGGATAGACATGAATAATGAAAACTACTTATAATTCAGAGACATATTGTAGGGATCTTAGGGCTAATAGGTTTAATATTTCTTGTGCCTCTTCATATATTACTCATTTACTGTATTGAAATTGAAATTATTCTCCTTCCTCTCATTATTAGAAATCTCTAGAAATGGGCAAACCACACATAGATCCAATAATCAGATTGATCTGCTCACTAATCACGGGGTTGGGGGGGGCGCGGAATCTTAAGTCCTACAAGGCAAAAGAATCCATTGACTTGTAAATAAAGCAGAAGTGAGACATTACTGTGCAATTTCAACCGAGTAAGATAATTAAACTCAGAGATGCCGCTTCCTGTTTCTCTGGTATAAACAAGGAGGCCACTCCACTGGCCTCTGCACAACCTGATGTCCGAAGGCCAATCCCTCTTCTTTCCCTCCACTTTCCCTAAGGAGAACGCTGGGTCGTGAGAGGATGCGAATTGGTGTAACTTTTCTGAAACGACTTGAGCTTCCTCTGCGTTTATATCTGTGTCATCTTATTCTCCGACAAGCTAACATCTATTATTAATTGATGCACTAATTAAAGCCACACTTGCTGTTTCCATTAGCTTATTCCCTAAATTCTCCCGAGTTGGCTGTCTGGTTTTAATCAAAACCAAATGGTAGTCCAAGTTCCCAGCCTGGAGCAGCTAGGAGGAAGTCATTCAGGGGAGGCTCAGGCAAGCAGAAAAGATAAACAGATGATAGTTCACAAAATTTGTGTCGGACGGAGGACGCAGATACTGTGAGCTGCTTTGGAGACGTGATTCAGGGACTCTGTCAGGCCCGAGGGAAGCAGTTGCAAGTGGTTAATGTCAGCAAGGCTGTAATAGGATCAAGATGGAGTCTGTCTTCTGCTTTGCCAGCCCTGAGCTTGTGTAACTGGAGGATTCTGAGGAGAGGGAACGCTGCATGGGCCAGGACACAGACTACTTGAATTTTGTGCAGGAATCTTGGGGTCGGGCAGCTCTTCGAGGAAACATCCCCTTTACTGGATTCTTGGGATTTTACTCACAGATCACCTCAGGTATAGGATGCAAGGCCGCAGCGTTTTAAAGAGGGAGAAGGGGCGAAGAGGATTTCACATTTAGAAGAATTACGGTATGAACACGAAATTTCGTCCTGCTCCCTTGAAAGATCTTTTGAAAGGAGAGCTGCAGAGGTATTTGGGTGAAGTTGTGTCTATACATTTAATAGAGTGGAAAAGTTGTAGGGGAGGGAGGGAACCGTGTTTTCTTTTTCTCCTTTTTTCCTCATAAGCCATGCGGGCTAGAAAAAGCTCTAGGACTTTATGACTCTCCAGCTAATCACCTCAAGAGCTTTGACAAACTCACTTCAGTTCTGTGTAAAATCAGAACTCCTACACCGCCCAGGCGGGCTCTGCGCGGCCTCTCCCTCTCCCCCTCCCTCCCCTCGTGCAGTCTCTCTCCCATGCACACTCCTCAGAGGCAGGAAATGCTTCCCAGGCAATCTGGGCCTGGTGGTGGAGGCCCCTTTCGCAAAACATCAGTCTGAGTTCAGGAGACAGAAGGCACTGGGAGCGTCTTGACAGGCTGCTGCTCCGGCTGAGGCTCCCTCCAGCTGCCCAGGGTGTTTTTGTTAGAACCACACGCTGCGCAGGACTGCTTAGAATAGAGCCAAGATCTCAACCACGAAATGTGAACTTATATTTTGGAGAAACTAACGGTCCGGACTTCTTGGCTAACCTGAGCGTTGAACAATGTCATGCCTTGGCGTCGCAGCTCCTCCTTGTCTAGGTAAGACGCTGTGGACGGTCTATTTCTACGCTTGGAGGCAGTCTTTGGAGAGGCAGAAAGATGGGGATAAACGTTAGCCTCTTGCAGCAAGTGGTGGATTTCCTAGGTTTTAGGGCTAAGCCATGAAAGCAGGAGTGGAAAATGTTTAGTGAGTAGAAAACTGTGAGTCAAATTGTTTTAGCAAAATGTCAATTCTAAAATAGGCTCCAGAGAGACTTGACTCTTTTCCTCCATAAACGAAGATGTTCTTTTAATCCCTTTTTATTCTTAACTTATTTATCAGTAGAGCTATCAGACCAACTTTCTGGTTACATGGCATAATATGAAGCAAACGCATATCCTCACACATAAGTGCGAGGTATAAATGAATTCTTTTTATCTCCCTCCTTTTGCCAACAGGGAGAGTAGATAGCACTAGAGTGACTTTTCTTGATAGTGAATCTCCAAAGAATATTTTGTGTCTCATTTAAAATGTGAAGATTGGATTCCTCAATATTTTCCCAAACCAGCTTTAACCATAGGTCAAGCTGCTAATGTACAGCTTAAATGTTTCATTAATTTTTAACAAAAGTAAATGCGTAACCTGTCCTAAGTAGTATTTAATCTGAGTTTTAAAATGTTAAATATCAGAATTGGATTTAATTTATATTAAATTCCCTGAATTCACTATTTAAGTCATATTTTTGTGAATATTTTTGAATAACTGAAGTAAATCCCAATGACAATAACATTCATTATTACTATTTTACGGCAGCTGGAAATTACTACAATTATATGAAAATCTGATCATGTGTTTATAATCATAAGATTACATTTCTACCAGGCTCTAGTCTTTTTAAGGTATCTTAAATGTTTAAATGTGCAATATATGAAAAAATATATCTAGTAATGACTAAAATTACATTGATTTTTAATGTGTAACATATTGTTATATTTATATTTCTGAATATTTAGAATGAAACCAATTATTTTATAAAAGTAATATACAATGGTATGTGAAGGGAACAAATATTCACGTGTATTTCCAAACCTATTAGATGAACCAAAAATACATTAAATGAAAGATGAGAACTATTGGACAGTTGAGTCACAAGAAATTAAGTGTTGTAATTATAAACTTTTACCATTACAAGGTAACCATTTGTTGTATTAGCTAATTATTCTTAAATTCTATGCTTATATTGATGAATTTTAACTATTCACTAACAAGTTAAGTCATGTTAGGACTTTAAAGTATGATAAAAATAATCTATTTTTAAGTATGTTAAAAAAATATAAAATACTGACTTACATAAACTATGATTCAATAAAATTCCTGAATAGACTTTCACGGAAGGAAATAGTATAAGACATCACTCTTCTAACGCTGTGATGAGGTTGCCAGAGGAGCTAAGGAATCACATTCAAAAATGACCTGTCCAAGGTCACACCACTAGCTAGTAGAAGAGATAACAGTGGAACCACAGTACTGTCTTATAGCTCAGATATTTTTATACTACATTATCCTGCTCTCAAATAATTATGCAGAATAAAATATTCACATGTCCATGCCAAACTGGTTTGGCTCAGTGGAAAGAGCGTCGGCCTGCGGACTGAAAGGTCCCAGGTTCGATTCCGGTCAAGGGCATGTTGCAGGCACATCCCCAGTAGGAGATGTGCAGGAGGCAGCTGGTCGATGTTTCTCTCTCATCAATGTTTCTAACTCTCTATCCCTCTCCCTTCCTCTCTGTAAAAAATCAATAAAATATATATTTTTCAAAAATATTCACATGTCCAGTAGTGGTCTACTTTTAGACAGAAAATTTAAAAAAAATAAAAACTGCCACCAGTGTTACAGTGTGGGGGGAAAAAATAATGATTTTTAAAAAGAACCAAATTTAGTAATAAAATTTTCTCAAATGAAAGTTTAAAAAAAATTTATTATGCCTTCAACAAACACTTTAAGGGAGCAACTTGTTTGTGCCTATTTTGTTACATTTCATGATTATGCCAAGAAAATCAATCCATATGCTAATAATCACAGTAATTTTAAACGTATGTTACTTAACAAGGGCTAGAAAAGAGCTTGTCTGGTTCATATCCTTGTATTCAAGGGCATCATAATGAACTCGCCTAAACAATGATGGTCAGAGATTTTACTACCCCCCATTGAAACTGGTTTAACGTACGTAGACTTTCCTTCTCTTAGCTAACCTAAATTTCTGTTGCTGCAAGTCTATTCCAGTTCTATGGGTTTTTCCTCAGTGGAACTATAAAAAGCCTAAATGGACATATGAAAACATAAGTGTCCATTTCTAGGACCAAAAAGCCCACTCCCTTTCATCTTCCCTTCTATAGGTTATACTCAATCCTTTAGTTGATTATGTCAATGCTGAGCCTTCTGCAAGATCCTTAAGCTGTAGAATACAGGATTTGTTACAGTACATAAATAAATGTCTGACCAATGCAATGTAAAATGGGAGAGTTGGCTGGATCATCTGTATCATACCTCATATGTGACAATATATGTTGCTATGCATGCTGAAACACAGCACTTTCCAAGCCTTTCTCATAAAAACTAATGCATGTCATTTCTAGGGCATGCCATTTCTTTAGAGAAAATGTGTGCAATGATGTTTTTTTTCTCTCATTTTTATGAAACAGATCGGATGTCATTACCATTTAAAAGTTACACTAGTCAATGCCTCCAGTGTCACCACACTCCACATTATTGGAATGAGGAATAAGTGCAGTAAAGAAATGGCCTGTATACCTGACTATATAATTCCTGGAGGGCCTGTAAAAGAAAGTGCATCACTCTATTTTTTTCTTAAGGGCATTATCATTTTTTAAAACAAGAGAATTTTTAGGCATGGTATAACCTTACAGAGGATTGGGTCTTACAGGCCAAAAGTAAATCTAAATGGAACATTTAAAATTTATCTTTTGTTTTTATCTTACTTGTTTCTTCTTGGAAAATGAATGAATTGGTGTCAGTAATCAATATTATCTTACAATGAGAATCTCTCCATAGATATCTTACAGTACAGCAAAGATCTGAGAGCTAACCTAGATCTGGATCAGAGAATTATATCATCAAAATAGATAAATGTCAAGAATTTAGGAGATGAGGATTTAAAGAGGATGAGGGAACAGTAAAAAATCTCCAGATTTTAGGAAGTGGCATGAGTATTGTGCCTTCTTCCCCCACATGAACGCTAAGCCCCTGTGTGTATCACTTAAAACAGGTTTATGGAGAAGCCCACCTACAGATTGAGTTTGGTGTGGATGTAGAAATACATTTACTTCTATGGCTCTATTTTGGCATTAAACTGCTAGTCAGTTCACAGAGTTTTGAGAAATAGATGGGCTTAGTTTTTTAGGAAGTTAAAGAGAATAAAGATGAAATGTGGACCTTGAGACCTAGTTAAAAAAAGATTGTTTATTTTGATTCAGTGAATTATAGAGTATATAAGTGAACTTGAAACGATTATACAGGAACTCTGACACACACAAAAAGCTGGAAAGCAATGCAAACAGTATGCATATGAACTTTCACATAAATTAAGATAGATGGGTAGAGCCCCAGCTGGTTTTGTTCAGTGGCTAAGAGCATCGTCCATGGACTGTGGGGATCATAGGTTCGATTCTGGTTAAGGGCATGTACCTCGGTTGTACCTCTATCTTCAGCCCAGGCCAGGGCGCATGTGGGAGGCAGCCTGTTGATGTGTCTCTCTCACATCAATGTTTCCCTCTGTCTCTCCTTTCCCTTCCACTCTTTCTAAAAATCAATACAAAAAAAATGTCCTCTGGTGAGGATTAACAAAACAAACAAACAAAAAAGATAGATGGATAGAAAAAACTATTGTAGCTAGTTGTATGTGTGAAAAGGTTGTTTGGAGTTAGACTGAATTGAATATTTTAGCAATACAATTCAAATAATTCAAAGATAAAATCAGTCCTATCAATGGAAATGAGATCGGAAGAAAGTACCAAAATCAGAGAACCAGTTTAGAAATTCAGTGTTTCTTTTTATTCCCAGAAACTAGCAAAATACCTAACATGTCAGGTGTTATCAATACCTGCCTGTCAATAAATGTTTGTGGAATAAATAGGATGGAAAGAAGAAAGAAAGCAAAGCAAAACCAGTCTTGAAGAGTGGGCATTGTGGAACTTTTTTCCCAAACATCCTGTAATGATAGGATAATAATTTTTAAAGTGGAAAGAAAATAAGAGGTTGTCAAGAATCATCAGAGCCTGAGGCCAGAGGTTAACAACACTCTCATACGATGCCATTACAAATTCAGTAAGAGCTAGAAGGAAACATGAGCATCCAGAAATAGTTTGAAATTGAATGTTACATAAGGCCAGTGAGAGCAGCGCACTAGTGAGTTCTCCACAATTTAAATGGAGTGGTGTACTGAAAAGCCCAATGGGCAGTCAGAATACTGGCTCTAATTTGCATCTTTGCCACTTGATGCTCTATGATTTGAAACATGCTCCGTAACTACCTTAAGCTTCTGCTTGTTATTGGTAAAGTGGGGAAGATAAAGAAAATATTTACATCACCGGGTCATTTGAGTGTCGCGTGAGATTTTGTATGTGGAAATTGTTTTGCATACAGTATAACAAACAACTATTTTGTTTAAAAAAGCATAAGTCAATTAATCAAGAAAGAAAGAATCATAGTGTTTCACGTTTTTGGTCAAAATCGCTCATCTATGTTGAAATAACATGGGCATCCAAGGGATGGGTCCAGCTCATACTCAGCCATGGATTCTGCAGCTAAGATCAACCAAAAACTAAAGGAGTCATTGGCATTGTCTTTATCAGCATCAGCAAGTCACTTTGCATCAAGTGAGTTCTTGCAATATGTCATGAGTTAAGTGTTCTACACACACTATTAGCTCATCATTGTTATTTTAGCTCAATATTATTCTTTTCCCCCCAACAATTTATTATTCCCGTTATAGACATGAGAAAACTGAAGAACACAAACTTAACTAACTAATCCAAGTCAC